TTCCTAAACCTTGTGGACAGCCTTCCTAGAAGAGTTGAAGCTGTTATAGTTGCAGAGGGTGGAAGAACTCAATATTGAACCCTATGGATTAAGACTGGGATGCCATTAAAGTTCATGTTCATGGAAAGGCAGGTGTCCCAATACTTTTGGCAATATAGTGTATATTTACTGTATATGTGTGTTTGTACACATTGATGCAGCATTTATGTGTGTATATATATATATATATATATATTTATTTTTGATGGCCAGGAAGCAGTGGGATGCCTATCCACAAAGGCAATATGCACATGAGACTGTATGTTACAATGTAACCCGTGGGTGCTAGTGTTTTGTGCATTCAGACATAATGAAACAAATTGGTTTGATGTGATTTTCCCACCAGATTCAAGCAAAATGTCAGAAGAAAAATATAATTACTTGAGTTATTGATTATGCATAAAAATGGATGCTGAAGTTTGCTGAGTGGAAAGCTGAGGGCTTGATGCCAGCTGACACAATATAGTGCGTGTATATTCAAAACCACTTATTAGAAAGATTCTTCAAAGTTCAGGTTTTATATCTATGCTTTCAACGCCATCAGGAACTCATTTCAGGTAAACAGCTATAGAAACTGATAGAAAAATGTGCGGAGTAAATGAAAGCTTTATTTCTATTGTAGATTGAGTATAATACTCCACGGGAACCAACCTTTTAATTTTAAGCAAAAAGATTAGAATAAATATGAATAGATGTATACAGTGTACAATAATATAACCTGCTAAGGACAATAATCACATTAAATAAACTATTTAAAAAAAGCCTATACTTTTCCCATAATAGGGAACGTAATAGGGTTACTGCAAAGCAGGCATCATAACTACATTTACCTTCCCCGCACTCCCCCGCCACCCCAATCCACCATCCAAGAAATACCTGATTATTACAGGTATGGGGAAACATGCAGGCATTTCACTGAACACAGAATTACAGATAGTAAGGCCTAGATTACACTTGCTGTTTGGGGCAGTGAAAGCAGGTGGTTGAGCTGCATATTTTCCTCCCTCCAAACCACCCCCCCTAAGCTGCAAAGGCAGCTGTAAAGGCTAATACATATGCACAATTGCAATGCTTTGCGCCACAGCAAAAGTGATCCCCTCAATCACATTTGATAGGCAGTATCGGCCATCAAATGCAACCCATTCAAGTAAATGGGGCTATTTCTTAAACTCAATCATGTGCACTGCACATAGTTGTAATGGGTAAGGGGTGATTGGGTGTGGAGGGTCTATTCTGGCTGCTGAGGATCTATTGTCGCTGGAGGGGATCTATTTTTGCGTGGGGGTCTGTTGCTGCCGAGGAGGTCTATTGTTGCTGTTGGGGAATATATTGTTACTGGGAGGGATCTACTGTTGAGGGAGAGGTCTATTGCTATATGTTGGCTGCTGGGAAATCTGTTGTTGCTGCTGGGGGTCTGTTGTTGCTGAAATGGATCTTTTGTTGCTGGGGCGGCATTGTTGCTGGGGGGCTTTATTGTTGTGGGGGAGGGGGGAGGGATCTCTTGTTGTTGGCTGCAGGAAAGCTATCTTACTGCTATTATTGGTGGCTGCAGGGGATCTACCTTTCTTGTTAACATACACAAATTCCATACAAATTACGTAGCACCACAAAATTATACTTGGTTCTGTATTCTCAAAAAGGGGCGGTACTGGGAGGTGGGTAGGGGGAGAACCAAGAAACGGTGACTCAAAAGAGGGGAGATCCTGCACCTATTCTCTGTGAAAAAAAAGCCCTGTCTGCATGTGATAACCCTCCTGTCCCCCCAAACACACACACTCCTGCCAGTCTATAATCTCAATGCTTGGTGTCCAGTTTCTAGACCTGAGTGCTGCACATGTGGAGGAAGGGAGCTTGTTGGAGATATTGCCTTCCAGTGTGTCTAAACTTGCATGGGAATCTAGGGTCACAGCAGCATAAAAGCATGGTGAAGGTAAGTACAGTCCAATTCTGGTGACTACAGGACAGCAAGCCTGTTGCTTTTCAAAATATAAGTATGCTCAAAAAGTAGGGAATTTTCTTTTTTTTTCATGCTCAGAGGAAAAATGCATTGTTACATTTTGAATTGAAAATAGGCTTTGCCCATGCAAGACTTTGCAACAGGTTCTTTTTAATGGTTACCCCACCAGCATCACATATTTTTCCTTTTATCCCCCCCACCACTCCATTGACCACTGGAGTGTAGACAATACCTAGTGCCTTTATTTTCTCACTTTCCTTCCTCCCATGTGACATGTGTGCTTGATGATTGGCAGTTTAGATACACAGGACTGCCCCATGGGGACAGGAAGAGAGTCTTTGACATCATGAGAGCAGATTTTTTTTTTTAAAGTTGGGCATACACTGATTGAATTTTGGCTGATTCAGAGATTTAGAATCAGCTGAAACTTTAACAATGGGTGGCCCTGCTAGCTCAACAAAAGTCAGTAAGGCCGGCCATACATGGGTCAATTTCCAGATGATTTTTTGTTCGAAAATCGGACCTAAGAATAATCGATTTTCGCTCTGTTAGTGGGGCAACGGCACCGGCTAATTTTTTTGTGGTTCCTCCCCATTTCGTTTATCGGGCATGTTGGAAAATTTGTGAAACTTGGAACCATTGGATTACAGAACAAACTACAAATCATTTGGAATTCGACCCATGTATGGCCTGCTTAACTCAGTTCTAGCCATGCCTAAAATTGTTGGCTGAATAGCACCTGCAGGCGATTAGCTGCAGGCACTGTTCAGGTAGCCTGACAGCCAGGACTAATGGCTAGTGGTACAAGGCCAAACATTCCAGGGTATGTAAAAGTTTGATCATGGCCATTTGGGTGATTTCTGTTATCATTATGATTTAAAAAGGAGCCAAACAACTATTTGATAACAAATGGCTTCATATGATCATCATCCATCAATAATAGAGCATTTTTTTACATGATCAGTCATATTTTCAATATCAATGCCAAAATTTCGCAATTTCTGCCAGGGTATGTAAACGTTTGAGCACAACTGTATAACATGTTATGAAATGTGAACTTATTCTTTAAATTAAAATCTCCTTCCATCACTGCATGTAACATCTAATTATCCTTTTGTGGGTGGCCAAAGTTGAACCCTCCCCCCTGCCCAGGGAAAAAAAATTAGAGGTCCTCCATGGTTATATTTTAATGTATTTAAATCTGCTAGTTTTAAAATAAAATGCTGGTTTCTCTTTTGCCAAGAGTTGTTTGTACAATAAATATGTAGTTTTTAATAGTGATTGCTAGCCCATCATCATATGCCAGGAGCTATTTTATCTGATATTTTTCTGTATTTTATTTACAAAAACTAGATTACTGTATGTGTCAAGCTAATCAACATTGTCCACAACTGCAATAACTCTGCAGGACTGGCTCTGGGAAGTCTGCATGCTGCACGTGGGCAGAGAGAAGTTAATTTAACATGTGCTTTGATGGAAATAAAATCACAATCAGAGCCAGATAACTGTCTCTGCAAACCCAAGTTATATTGACGCATATTATTTTAGAGGATCTGAGTTGACTTCTACATTTTTAATATGAATTGACTCATAGCAACAGAATTCATGCAATAATAATGAGAAGGATGAAGACAAAGCACATATTCCATAGAAAGTGCTTGATTGACCTATTGTTTCCATTACATCATCAGTACTAGTGGGCAGGATTCCATAACCTTTTAACACAAAGGTTTATAATTGGCTTTACCCACCTGCTGTCATACCAAGACTACTAAGAATTCCAGTTTTCAAAGCAATTTAAATAGTTTGTTTGGGCCAGGCTGGTCCAAATGAACTATTTCCACTACTAAATGATGCACCTGCTGTGTTTGCTGTAATATAATGTAGTAACAATAGCTACATACAGTAAATGTGCTCTGGCAACCGTATGGTCGACTTCCCGTTTGCCGCTGGAAATAAAGAGAGTTGGGCTGAGAGCCTCTCTGTCAGAAGAAAGCTTTTTCTTTTATCAATGAATAAAAGGTTTTCCGGCTGAGGTGGAAATTGTGATGTTATCTGCCCATCTTCCCACTTTGGCAGTCAGAGGAAGCCTTGTATTCATTAATAAAAAAATACAAGCCTACTCCTGAATGGTGGAGAAGCACTCAGCCTGTCTCTCTTTAATTCCAGCAGTAGGCAGGCAGTTACCTATATTGCTACCGGAACACAGGGCAGCTTACTGTATATTACAGCACACACAGCAGGCATATCATTTATTTAAGAAATGTATTATAGGTACTTATATAGTGCTGTCAAATTATGCAGTGCTTTACATATATATATATATATTATACATTTACATCAGTCGCTGTCCTCAAGGAGCTTACAGTCGTAGGTCCATAACATATATATACAGTACACATATTAGGGCCAATTTCAACAGCGTCCAATTCACCTACCAGCATGTGGGAGGAAACAGGAGTACCCGGAGGAAACTCATGTAGGCATATGGAGAACATGCAAACTCAAGGAAGGTATTGCCATGGCTGGAATTCAAACTGACATTTAGTAATGGAAATAAGTTATTATGGCCATCTTGGCCCAAACAAGCTATTTAACCGCCTCCCGCCCACCATATAAGTTAATGACGGGTGCAAGGCGGTTCTCTCGTTCTGGGAGGACGTCATATGATGTCCTCCCGTTCTAAACGCGCATGCGTGGCTCCGGGGGTGTGCAGCGCGGCGATCGGTGGTGCGCTGTGTCCCTCGGACACAGCGGATCACGATCAATGGAAAGAGCTGAAGATGTCGGTTCGGTCATGTGATCAGCTGTGTCCAATCACAGCTGATTGCATGTAAATAGGGAAATGCCGGTTATTGGCATTTCTCTCCTCATGTGCTGTCATGCTGACAGCTTGTGAGGTAAAGAGAGAGCCAGTAATCTGCATTCCTCAGAGGTGACATGTGCACTGATCATCAGGGCACTGATGATCAGTGTGTCCTGATGATCAGTGTAGCCCCAGCAGTGCCACCTGTCAGTGTCCATCAGTGCCAGCTGTCAGTGCTCATCCATGCCACCTGCCAGTGCCCATCAGTGGCACATCAATGCCACATATCAGTGTCTACCAGTGCACATCAATACCACTTATCAGTGCCCATCTGAGCTGCCTTTCAGTGTCACCTACAGTATCAGTGCCATCTATCAATGCTAGTCAGTGCCACCTATCAGTGCTGCCTATCAGTGCCTATCAGTGCTGCCTATCAGAGCCAGCCAGTGTCGCCTATCAGTGCGCATCAATGCCGCCTATCAGTGCCCGTTAGTGCTGCCTATCAGTGCCGCCTAACAGTGCCAGTCAGTGCCACCTAACAGTGCCAGTCAGTGCCAGTCAGTGCCGCCTAACAGTGCCACCTATCAGTTCCGCCTATCAGTGCCATATATGAGTGCTGCCTTTCAGTGCCCATCAGTGATGCCTGTCAATGCCCATCAGTGCCACCTACCAGTGCCTCCTCATCAGTGCCCATCAGTGCCACCTATCAGTGCCCATCAGTGCAGCCTATCAGTGCCCATCACTGCAGCCTCATTAGCACACATCAGTGAAGGAGAAAAATCACTTATTTACAAAATTTAATAACAAAAACTAAGAAAAAACGTTTTTCCCCCCAAATTTTCAGTGGTTTTTGGTTTGTTTAGCAAAAAAAAAAAAAACCCAGAGGTGATTAAATACCACCAAATAAAGCTCTATCTGTCACAAAAAAAGATAAAAATTTCATATGGGTAAAATGTTGCATGACCACACAATTGTCATTCAAAGTGTGACAGCGCTGGAAGCTGAAAATTGGCCTGGGCAGGAAGGGGGTATAAGTGCCCTGTAGGCTAGTGGTTAAATTGCATTGAAACCTGGAATTTCACTTTAAAGCTGAACTCCAAAAACTATTTGTATTGCATACTTGTGCATTGGTCCAGATTGGCACAATGTAATTAATCTTTATTCAATCTTGATGGACTAGTGGGGAAGCTGGAAATCACTATAGTAATTGGTGCTACTGCTGTGATAGCTGCGATCTCCGGCGTCCTGCTCAAGTTCTATTTGAGTGCCTGCCCCACTGAACACCGACCACAGACGGTTTTATGCTTGCCGTTCACAAAACGCCTTGTATTTTTTCAGTGAATACAAGGTGTTTTCTGACTGGAAGAGATTGCCTTGTATTCATTGGAATAAATACAAGGTCTTCTCTTAATGGCGGTGTTGAAGAGTGAGCAGCCTCCTGTCAGACAGCTGTTCACATAGAACATAAGCAGGACCAGGAAGAATGTAGCTATCACCGTAGTAGTGCTGACTACTACGGTGTTTTCCAGCTTCCCCGTCATACTTATATTGTGCCTAGCTGGACCAGCATAAGTATGTAATACAAATAATTCCTGGAATTAAGTTGTAAGCAATAGAATGCATTTGCTTCTTGGCGACTAGGCATGTCAATCACCGGGTTCCAGCCGGCGATTCCCAGTTGGCAATTGGCAATCATCGGGTAAAGCTGACAGGGGAGAGACCTGTATGTAAACAACACAGGTTTCTCTCCTGTCAGCATGGACATGCTGCTTTGTATGTCTCTGCACAGCACAGTAGATAGAAAACAGCATGTCTTCCTAGTAAAACACAGCACACAGTAAAACACACACACAGCACACAGTTAACCCTTTGATCTCCCCAGATGTTAACCCCTTCCTGCCCAGTGTCATTAGTACAGTGTCAGTGCTTTTTTATTAGCACTGATCACTGTATTGGTGTCACTGGGGATGTCAGTGACACCAAGTCAGTTCCCCCCAGTGTCAGAATGCCTGCCGCAGTCCCACTATAAGTCGCTGATCGCCGACATTACTAGTATAGAAAAAAAATTTAGTATATATACTGCCATTTGTAGATGCTATAACTTACACGTAAACCAATTTACACATATTAAGATTTTTTTTTAGCAAAGACATGTAGCACAATACATTTTGCCCTAAATTTCTGAAGAAACTAGATTTTTAAAAAAAATTTTATTGGATATGTTTTATAGCAAAAAGTCAAAAATATTGTTTTTTTTTTTTTTTTTCAAAATTGTCGGGTTTTTTTGTGTAGATAGCGCAAAAAATAAAAAATGCAGAGGTGATCAAATATCACCGAAAGAAAGCTCTATTTGTGGGAAAAAAATTACATAAATTTGATTTATATACATCATTGCTTGACCACGCAATTGTCAGTTAAAGTAACGCAGCTCCGTATCACAAAAAATGGCCTGGTCAGGAAGGGGTGTAAATCCTCTGGGGGGTAAGTGGTTAAACCCTCTGCTTTTTAAGCATGCTCAGCAACTGATTTAGCAGTACTGTAAAAATAAAAACTTTACAATCACTTAAAACTGGTGCAATGACCACTGCCCTGGTTTCCTGTTTCAGGGTGACTTTTTTCTTTTGCAGCATCCTATGAAGCATCCCTGCATGCAGGATCTAGAATTGCATCACAATGCACTGTGTGCATCAATAGAAACACAGAGCCCCATAGCCTAGGATGACAAGGCACTCTCATCTCATACCCCAAGCTCATAGTCTGACTCCAAACTACACTGTCCACTGTTAACTCTCTGTAAGTTCAGGGAACCAGCACTGAGAGAGCAGGGGCCAGCATCTTTGAAAGTGGTAAACTGCAAGAGCTAAGGTAAGAAATTTTAACAAATACCTTAGAGGGCTTGTTTATTTTATTGTTCTCAATGTGTTAAGCTACAAAACGCTAAGGATTTATTACTAATTTAAAGGAAACCTGTATATATACACACATATATAACATACACACACACACACACACACACACACACACACACACACACACACACACACTGATATTGCTGACTTCTTCATAAAAATGCTAACTGCCTGGCTGTCTTTGGCTTTCTATACTTTCAGTCACTGATACGAAGCGAGTATACAGATCAGGAAAAGTCAAAATGAAGTCAGAAGTCCTGATCTGGGTATTGGTCCCAGGTCAGTAGAGTACTGACCTCAGCGAATTATCATGGAAGCCAAGGAACAAGTTTTAGTACAAGTTTTCTTCAAAGCCAAGCTCTATGTAGAAATAAAAGACACAAATTAATGCAATGATAATTAACTAAAAAGGGAAAAGTTCTCCTTTCCTTGAAAAATGAAAAGATGAACTAACACCAAATATCCTGGCCACCCCTATGGATCCTCCTTCCCATAGTGGCCTTGATGCCCCACTATAGTGGTCTGTACACCGTAAACCGAAATACCAATTCCTGGAGTAAGTATATATTTAAGTATATATTTAAATGTAAGAAGCGTACCTGAATGTGATGTAATATCAAGCTCTTGCAGTTCCTATACAGCAGAGCTCAGACTGGGGGCTGTAGAAGCTGCACCAGAAGCCAGTCAGTTGTGCTTCATTGCAGAGAATTACCGGTAGATCTTCTGCTTTGCCAGAAAGAGTTGTGATGTGCAGCCAAACTGTGTAAATCTCATGGCTGAATGGACGAAAAAAAAAATTCTGTTTTTGTACTGTGAATTTCTTTCACTGGACAAAAACCGGATGACGCCACTTTGATGTAAACTTGTGAATGTTTATTGTGCCTCAAATCAATGCAAAGTAGACAGGAATACAGATTCTTCTAAGGTGTTTCACTCTAAATAGAGCATAGTCATAGAGTCAGTTTTCTTAGATGTGTTTTTCATTTGTGCATTCAGCTATTTGCCTAAAATTCATCTTTAAAACTCAATCCTTCACAGATTCCGTTTTTGAAATGACAGAAGGATCTTCTCACTGTATAGGGAAGAAAGCATGTTCTAGGATAATTAAGCTCACAATTATGGACTTTTCACCACATCCTATACTAATTACTCAAATCTGTGTTTTTTTTCTGGCAAACATAGCTGAACCGTTGATTACGTTGGCATCTATATTTTATTACATGATATTGATTGGCAGGCATATGTCAAAATCTTAACTATATGAAGTAAAAAGAGAACAGAACAGATTGAACAATTGGCAAACTGAACTTGAGGCACATATAAAAGGACACCTTTACTTTCAGTTAACCGTTTACAACATTTTAACCACTTAAAAAAACCTGTACTATGTACACAGAGAGGAAGCACACACGATGGTGTTTGAAGTTTTATAAGTTGTTTCTACAACTTGAAGACTCTTGTACAGCTAAGAGATAAGAGTAGATCATGTGTCAGTTGCCTGAAACAATACAGTTCTATGCCTAAGAAGGTCATATTGGCTATGCTCCTAGAAATAATGTTGCCTCAAATGTTCTCATGAGAATGCAGCTGAAGAAAGGAAACTTTACAGGGAGAACCCTACATGTATAACAAATATAAAATAAAGTCTCTAAAGCATAACTCTGAGAAAGGCCAACTTGCTCAACACTGGTTATTGACCAGCAATTTTTAAATGTCTGCTCTTGACCTGGTAATTTGACAATAACTTTGTCCTTATTTAATTTAACAAATTAATAAATACAGTATATCCAGGGCTCTTTGTTCTCAGAGAATAGGTGCAGGAACCATGACCCCCTGAATCCCCCACCTGTGGGGGAAAACGCAAAGAAGTGTATAATGCACAGAATTCAGAGGTAAGTAATGCAGAGAGTGAAGGGGTCAGGAGTAAGCAATGCAGAGAGTGAAGGGGTCAGGAGTAAGTCATGCAGAGAGTGTAGGGGTCAGGAGTAAGTGATGCAGAGAGTGAAGGGGTCAGGAGTAAGTAATGCAGAGAGAGAAGGGGTCAGAAGTAAGTAATGCAGAGAGAGAAGGGTTCAGGAGTAAGTGATGCAGAGAGAGAAGGGGTCAGGAGTAAGTGATGCAGAGAGAGAAGGGGTCAGGAGTAAGTGATGCAGAGAGTGAAGGGGTCAGGAGTAAGTGATGCAGAGATTGAAGGGGTTAGGAGTAAGTAATGCAGAGAGTGAAGGGGTCAGGAGTAAGTGTTGCCCAGGACACAGTACAGAATACAGCCAAAAATCATCTCTTCCAGCCAGTACAAACCCCTCTTCCCAAGCCCACATCCACTCCAGCTTAGATCTCACCCAACAGCCCCAATCCATGTCTAGTGAAGATCACCCCTCAAAGCCCTAAGCCCTTGTTCACATGTGGCAATTTGATCTATGTCCTGTGCAAGGCCATGTTTACCCACACAGGGATGCACAGGTGTACCATGCATTCCTACATAGGCAGTCCCATTGATGTCTGCATGGACACGGCTGCTATGTCCCAATATAACATCCATGTGGGTGTGGGTGCATGTTCCTGAACTCACCCTGGGTGCTTCTGGGCTTTACACCCCCCACCAATATCACATTGGGAGCAGTGGCTGTGTCTGTGCTGTGCCTCCGTCCCAACAGATAACAACGGGACTGCAGGCACGGGGATGCATGGAAGACATGCACGTGCTGGTAAAATGTTGCCCTTCACGGGGGATGGATC